TGACACGGTCGGGTTTCGAACCCTCGACCTTCCGCATCCGAGGTGGAAACTCTAACCACTAGGCCACCAGACCAGTCTCGCTACAAATGAGAAAATGTATCACGAAATCGTTCATATATGTACGTAGTGAATAAAAGTGGAGAGTCTCCGAATTGGTTTTGCCACTGTTAACTTCATTTTTATGTGACCATCTTGATGAAACTTCACGCAGGATTTATGAGATTTTGACCTTGAGGAGATATATTTTTTATAACAAAATCAACTTTATGTATTTGCCCTATGCAGCATTTTGAAATATTTTGCAAAAATAATATGGATGATTTCCTTAAAAGGTGTAAGTAAATGTACTGTTAGTCGTTCTTGAATTAAACGTACAGGATGTACTTTACAAACATTCTTGCATGATAATATATTGAAAGTAACAGAGGTATTCGGAGGCAAATTGGTTTATTTTCTTAATTTGTCTATATACAGAACATGTGACCCAGTAAGTCGTTGGATTTCATAAAATAAATAATTTTAGCAATACAATTATGTTTACAAATGGGCACAAAAAGTGTGTCTTTGCAAAAGATTTTTGTGTGAAACCTACATAGGTATATTGAACACGATTATAGGGAAGATTTTAAAATGATTTGAAAAACTCAAGATAACATTTAACATAGGTAGATAAACATACCTGTATATTTTATTTGTATATTAATACTTGTATCAAATACAATAAAGTTAGAAAAACAGTTTTATTCTTTTCATTAATATCAAAAAGACCTGTGCAAACCATTCTTCTTTTTTTAGTATATTTTATCGTAAATACTGACTTACTCAGAGCAAGCGTATATATTAACATCATTATATTATTTTTCGATACAGCTTAAATTTTGTGATAACAAAAGAAATCAGCAACAATGCTAAGTCGGATCAGATATAATTTGTTTCAAAAGAAAGAGAAAGAAAAGCCTTGACCAGTAGCTAACAATCTTTGTCATCCATAGCATTGTTGGCCATCTTAAAGAGTTTCTCAAAACATATCATAAAAGGAGAAAACACGTATTTTCACAACTCTTGAAGTGATAGTAACCGGAACCGTTGACCGTGGCTTTCGTGATATTAAAGAAATATTTATAATATTAGCACATATTTATTGCATAAAAAATGTGAAGCAATATTTAAGAGAGGATTATTGTTTATTGTCTGATAGGAATGAATAATTCTTCATAAAAATTACCTCCACTGTAATTTAAACATTGTGGTGATAATCGGACACCGTGTAACGCTTTATTCTACATATGACTTATAGGTTATGTATGTAAAATAGTGGACTCTTTGTAATAAGAACGTCTGTATAAATCGTAGCCTTGTATGTATCATACAACAGACAGAAAAACCTGAAAGCTTTAGAAAAAAAATTCATTATTTAAGAAAAGAAACATAAGTTCCATTATGAAAGGTCTTTACGTTAGAAAGCAACATCTTCAGTTACTTGTTTGATCTAGTATTCAGCAAATTCATCAAAATCAGCGGGCAATGTTGCTTAAATGTTTTTAGTTTAAAATCGGTATATATGTATATATCTCTCAACACATTTTCTAACTCAATAAATTTTAAGTCTAAAATCTCTCTTATAAAGCAGTGACAGTAGTTATGGCGATGCAATGGTATCTATTTTTATATTCCAAATTTTACTTTTATTAACTTTTTTGTTGCAAGTCGTGTTGTAGGTAAAGTTGTTTTTTTTAATGGCCACTGCAGAAATTAAATAAATTATTATTGTAATGCTGAAATTTCTTGAGAGAAAACAAGACAAGAAAAGCAGTTAAATATGGCACGCCCTTATTATCATTTGTTAGCTTATCAAAAGCAAACAATTGTTAATAAAGTTCAGAGCACACATGGCTCCTTGTAAAATATTTGTACAGATACAGCAATTAAGCGGCATGTTTGACAACGCCTAATAGCAGACGGTGTTCATCGTTTCAACGCTACGTTTGTCGAACAATTTTAGGAACTGACCAGTAGTGATCTTAAGAAGGTTTGCTGAAATCTGGACGCTCATAAACCTGTCATTGTTCAGCAGGTCTGGAGTCTCTCCTTCCCTTCTAGAGCACTTTCGCCGACAGATAGGAAATAATGATGGACGCTCTAGTAAAATATTGCTTTTACGTAACGGGTTTTTCCTTCGGGTGTTTACACGAGATGCAAAAGGTCTGTCTTATTAGATTAGAGGCTATGATTGGCCATATTTCCTAACGATGTAAAAAGAAATATTCAAAGTAAATCAACATTTTACGATCGAAACATGCCCATAAACATCAAAACAGAGTATGTACAATGTAATAAAAAATCCAGATTACAAATGTATGAAGAAAAGAAAAATAAAATATACAAAAACTGATGTCGATCAGAAGGTTAGATAAAATTGACAATACAGTTATCTGTAGATGACAAAAATGGAAAGAACAGAAACTCGCAAAATATTATTTCAAGAATAAGCAGCAGTCAGCATATATGGGAGATTGCAAATTTATCTGGAAAATTAACTGTTGTAAGAAATTTACTATTATAATATAGAAAATAAATCAATAGCTGCATACCTTTGATCGATAATAGCAAAGGACAGGAATCAGGGCTACAATTAATGGGAAAAGTAAAATTTTATGAAGACAGAACCTTTGCTGAATTACGGAAAAACGGTAAAATTAAATCATAACCCTTTCTGAATTACCGATAGAAACGGTAAAATTAAATCATAACCCTTTCTGAATTACCGATAGAAACGGTAAAATTAAATCATAACCCTTGCTGAATTACCGATAGAAACGGTAAAATTAAATCATAACCCTTGCTGAATTACCGATAGAAACGGTCAGCTTAAATTATTGCCCTTGCTGAAAATTACGGATTGGAAGGTAATCTTAAATTATAGTCCTTGCTAAATTTTCGACAAAATCGGTCAGCTTTAAAAAAAAAATAATAGCCTTTGCTGAATTACCCATGGAAACGGTAAACTTAAAATACAGCCTCTGCGGAACATGACAGAGAGAAACGGTCAACTTAACAAATAGACCTTGCAGAATTTCCGATAGAAACGTTCAGTTTAAATTATAGTCCTTACTGAATTACCAATGGAAACGGTAAACTTCAATTATAGCCCTTGCTGAAAATTACGGATATAAACAGTAATCTTAAAATATAGCCCTTGCTGAATTACTGATAGAAATGGTGGACTTAAATTATAGTCCTTGCTGAAAATTACGGATAGGAACGGTAAATTTAAATTATAGCCCTTGTCGAGTTACCGATAGAAACGGTAGACTTTAATTCTTTCAATATACCTTTTTCAAACCCTACAGATAATAAAGGGTGTTGGGTAACCATATCTATGCACATGCAATCCGATCCGATTTATAACATTAACATTGAATCTTAATACGGTTTAAAAAAAAAACGATATATTTGGAAAGAAATTATTCTTTTTTTTAATTATCATGCAGCATTTGTGTATTGTATACCTCTAATAATTTGCTGATTTGCCTACATTAGTAGCGTTGTTATTGTTGTGGTAGAATTACTTGTACCTCTGGGAGATATCTGGAGGATGGGGTCGCGACATCTTTTCGAAATGCGACTATAAAACTCCTATTGCTAAAATCCATGGGTCTTTATATCACGAAGAAAAATCCTTCGGTTCTTTTTCTGAAATATGGATCAATGCAGTACAGTATACATAAAGTATCCCATAACCAAGGACTAACCACGAACTAATGCAACACATTATAAAGTATCCAATAATGACAGACTAGTGCAACACAGTACCAGCCTAGTGCAACACAATACCACGGACTAATGCAACACAATATAAAGTATCCCATAATCACAGACTAATACAACGCAGTAATAAAGTATCCCATAAACACGGACTAGTGTAACACAATATAAAGTATCCCATAACCACGGACTAGTGCAACACAAAATAAAGTTTCCCATAGTCACGGATTAATACAACTCAGAAATAAAGTATCCCATTACCACGGATTATTATGCAACACAGTACCACGAACACAGTATAAAGTATCCCATTATCACGGACTAGTGCAACACATTATATATATTATTTCATAACCACGGACTAATGCAACATAGAACCACGTACTAATGCAACGCAGTAATAAAATATCCCATTACCACAGCCGAATACAACAGAAAATTTACTTAAAGCAAAATACGATGCTGACATTCCTTGAAAATTCAAACTGAGCCTTATACCGGATTTTGTGTAAGTGTATTGTGTACCACAACAAGGATTCATAAGAAAAATAATGATAAAGTTTTAATAAGTTTGTCTTGTTTTTAAAAATGCACGTCTGCATAGAATCCACGTAACTATTTTGATGATGGGCAAGAACACCTATTTATGTGTCCTCTTTATTTAGTCATCTGGGTTGCATTTACAAACACAAGTAATGTTCGTAGTTCTAAACCAATCACCAGATCAATACAACTTTCAGACTTCTATTTACCTGTGTGTCGAACTACGCTGGTACTAACATGGTATTACAGGATGATATAAAAGTTTACAAAGGCGAACAAACAAAACCCACAACTGTAAACAAATATCAGAATAAAGCCAAAACGAGAAATCGTTCTATTTTATTTCCATTTACAAACAAAATGCTCTGAGGCAATATAAGTGAGATACAAAATTCCACAAGACATCAACAGTTAGTTTTGTTGTGAAGACATGTAGTGAGCTGCGATATCAACTTAAATTCTAAACTTCCAAATTATTTTGTAATGTCAGTTACTTCTATGATTTGATTGCGTCGGTCGGAGCATAAAAGCTTGTTTTTGAAGTTGTCTATGATCTGCCACAGCCGTTAGCATAACATAATTGCAAGAAAAACTACTAATTGACTATAAAAACGTCTAACTGCTAGTTTACAATAGAAAAGTGTGAATAACAAATAGCAATTTGCTACATAGCAATGACGTATTAAGAAATATAAATTCTGGAACTTATTAAGATAGTTTTGTTGAATATGAAATTCATTTCTCGTTTAACAGTGGTCAATTTGA